GTCGAGCGTTTATTATGCTACAGAATATGTTGATATATTTGCTCCCCTGTGCGTCGGTGAAGTCCGGCTGTAGTCCTCTTCTTGCGTTCAGGTCCCCGCAGATAAGCACGTTTCCCTGGGCCTGGAAGTGGCTTGTCTCTTCTTCTAATGTGGAGAATATGTCTTCGCTGTAGTAGAGGGACTCTGATGGCGGGATGTATATGGCACACAGGAATATAACATTTCTGGATGGGAGCAGTTCCTTGTGGATTTTAAGCCAGGTGTAGTATTTGCCTTGCTTTACTGTGTTGATGTGGTTGTGGAATTGTGATTTGTACCAGATGATTTGTCCTCCTGAGTCATCTTATCTATGCACAATCAGCTTGTAACACTCCAAAGAGAAAGGAAAACCTGAAACTTAAGTATAATATAATACATAAATTAACTGTTAAGTTCATTCTTTGGCTGGGATCCCGATTATCTTCTGTCCTTCAGTCCTCAGGTCTGTAAGAGACAGTATGATGTCTGTGAGTGTCCTGTTTTAAACCATTACATTATTGTAAAGATAGTTTTCTAATATAACACACACACACACACACACACACACACACTATCAGGGTTTTAGTGTAGACAAACGTAATTTCTTCATGCTTGTCAAAATAGCTCAATTACCATCTGGAAAAGGCTAGTCCGTATTCTGATGGCAGCCCATACTGAACTGAACTGAAGACTGTTGGTGTTGCAGCAGAGTTTGGTTGAGTCACAAACACAATATTGTTGACAGTCACACCAGGCAGAGGACTGTTCATTTGATAAACCCTAGCACTGTATTGCCTGTAAACCGGCCTTCACTAAAGGAGAACAGAAAAAATACGGCACATTTATTTCACATGCATAATATCAACCATATGACATTACCACTTTATTGAATGTTTGGTAAAAGCATCTGTTATGCACATGAACAAAAGTTGAAGATGGCATTGTTCATCTGAATGAATAGAGACCTGCTGTGATATATAAATGTGATTAATTTGTTATATGGGTTTTTTCACTGAAATAAGCTGTGTTGTATGTCATACAGGTTTGGAAGGATATGTGATTGAGTAAATGATGACAGAATTTTTATTTTTGTGTCAGCTATCCTATTAAGTAAGAATCTTTAAACCACGTCTTGAGTTTTACCTTTGGCCTGCAGCAGGAAGTTGAGGCAACAGTAATGGAGAAGACGACGATCAGAGCATCACAGACCATCAGTACAATGTGAGTCACACCCTAAGTGAATATTAGAGGCAGGAGGATTATGAACTAAAACACATTTTTGCATTAGCTAGAATTATTTGCCTTGAGGAAATTGTACTAAATTTCAACTAGGCTGATATAAACAGCATAAAGGAGAGATTAGTATTAAGTATAACTAAATAATTGGTAACTGATGCATTTAATACCAACCAACATAAATGCAAGTGCTCTTCTGGAGTAAGTGATTTTTGCAGATCTCATGTATTTCAAGCAGGAAGTCTGTATACTTACATCATTTGCAAACCCATGAAATGGGATGGAGAACATAGATGCTTTGGCATTGAGGTAGTTTAGAGATTGTGAGGCTGTGATCTGAAATGAGAAAGGCTCTTTAGGTAAATCAAAAATGTATAAAATATAATTTATTGTATTCTGTTATTATTCTCATTCAAATAAAATGAAATGTAAAATACTTAAAAGATTCAGACAAACCCATCGTATGGTACGTTTGTGTGCAGCGAACACCGTCAAAGATCCAATTAAAACTGACTGCAGTGAAGAAGATATATTGTTTAAACATTTGCTTAATGCACAATATTGCTCTGATACTGAAATAAAAGACTTGCAATGATAGAAGCCCACAAAATGTAAAATAACCTTTCCAGATTAAGGCAAACATCGTTATGCCTAATACTATTTACAAACCCTGTAAAATATAAAACAAGATGGTGAACATTTCTTCATTAGCCCAAAATTAATATTAGCAGAAAAAAATCTTGAAGTGGGACAGTTCGCTTTACCCCGACGACCTGTGGTCTGATCTGCAGGAATTTAGACACCACATACTGGTCAAATGGAGATGCTGGCAGCTGAAGAGAGCTGGTCGCATGATCATGTTTAGATGCACTGAGAGAAATATGTGTTTGGATTGGGATGGAAATTTAGTTCGATTTCATTTACTTAAGTAATTTACAAATAGGCCTATACATCTTTATTTTGTTAATCTTTCAGCCCTTAGTAACATGCTTTTCTCTTTACTGTCAGCCACAGAAAAATCAAACGCAAAAGAAACCAACTGTCACTGTTTACACTGGAGCTGAAAATCGGGATTTACTTGATTTATGTTGCTCAGGTCCTACATGGAAAGCTCTCTCTCTCTATATATATATTTAATTGTAATAGGGGGACAAGCGACACTACTGTTTTCTAATACAAAGCTTGGAAAGATCATGTTTGTTTGATCTGCCAGTCACAATGCATAAGATCTAAAGGTCTAAACCAGGGGTGCCCAAACTCAGTCCTGGAGGGCCGGTGTCCTGCAGAGTTTAGCTCCAACTTGCCTCAACACACCTGCCTGGAAGTTTCTAGTATGCCTAGTAAGAGCTTGATTAGCTGGTTCAGGTGTGTCTAATTGGGGTTGGAGCTAGGCCCTCCAGGACCGAGTTTGGGCACCCCTGGCTAAACTAAGGTTGTATTAGAAATTACATTTTTATTCCACAAAATGCACAATAAGTAATAGGCTAGTATCTTCCTCCAATTTTGTGTGTATTCAGATTAGCAGTAGGATTATGAAAGATTTGTTTTACAATCTGAGGAAAATAATCAATATATTACGACATTACTTTACCTTTATGTTGCTCTTGTCTTAGGTCTTGTCATTTTCATTTTCTATTTCTTTTCAAGTTGTAGCCTAATCTAGGAAAGAAGCAGTTTATGAGACTCCACATCCCAAGTATACTACTATTTATGCATGTTTCTGCTGCTATTGGTGGCAGTGATCAGAGGCTCTGTCGCCTCACAGCAAGAAGGCCTCCTCTACACTCTTAAAAATAAAGGTGCTTCAAAAGGTTCTTCAAGCGATGCCATAGAAGAACCATTTTTGGTTCCACAAAGAACCATTCAATCAAAGGTTCTTTAAAGAACCATCTCTTTCTTACCTTTTTATAATCTGAAGAACCTTCTTTCGCCACAAAGAACCTTTTGTGAAACAATAAGGTTCTTCAGATGTTAAAGGTTCTTTATGGAACCATTTAGACAAAAAGGTTCTTCTATGGCATCGTGAAGCACCTTTATTTTTAAGAGTGTAGCCGTCCGTGTGTGTTTACTAAACTCCACCTGGTGCCGCGGTTTCTCTCACATGACATGCAGCGCAACTATTTCCAACATTCCAATATAATCATATATACACGCGATTACAGTTGAAAATATATTTTGTTTCCGACTGCTCAAAGTAAAGATACAGTGTCAATTTAATTAACCAAATTTCAATATTTAACATAGCCTATCTTTAAAAAACAACTGCGTCCAATATGATTTACGTGCTAAATCCAGGAGAGACTCCAGATCAATAAGTGGGCTATAGGTGGGTATATGTATTTTATCAAAAACGCTTTAGAAAACTGAGTCGGGCCGAGTACCAAAACAAACTTGTAGCCAATTAGCAGTAAAGGGTGTGTCTACTCATTTTGTGGAGGACAGAGCGCTCAGTGCACAAGACGGACAATAGCCGAGCCGAGCGACGACAGAAAGATAGAGATGGCGGATAAAAAACAAAAGAGGAAAATGTCTGCAGAACTAAAGAAGGCTTATGATAAGGCAAGAAGTAGGACCCGTGTAAATATCGGATCAGCTTTCCAGCGCTGGAGAGAACTCAGCGGGGAGCGGAAGGCCTGCAATTGGACGCCGAGGTTGCTTTGTTTCTTCTCGATAGGTGAGTAACACCGTGTCTACACCGGACACGACAGTTGTCGCGCCGCACCGCGCCGCAACAGCTAAAGTCTGTCTATGCTGGACGTGATGAAGCGACCGCTGAAAATCATTTGAAATTTGTGTCAGTGTGTCATAAATAGAACGCAGCAGCAGTTTTTTGTCGGGGATTTGTCGTGTACACAGCATCACTGATTATAATGAGTTCTATAGTATTTTGTTGCGCTGCACCGCTCGCATCCGGTGTTGACACGGTGTAACATTGGTTTTGCTTTGTTTCACAGAACTAATAGTTGCCTTGGTTGCATACGTATGTGTGGGGCGGAGCTATCAAAATAGGGGCTAGACCCTTTTGGGGTAGGGGCCTGTTTGTTTTGGTGATTTGAAATATCAACATTGGCTAACAGAAATTACTTACCCCACCTTTAAGACTGGTGTTACCTGAACCTCACAGCACATTGCTGTGTTTTCCATGAGACATTTGAGCATTTCCAGCATCCCAGTGACTCAACAAGAGGTTTGGAAAATGGATGGATAGATGTTTCTGAAACATCTGGGATGTGTAGCCTACTATAGCCTAGAGTATGCAGCATTATGTTTCTTTTTATAACACTGGTCCTATCTGCTATTTTGATTAAATGTCATAAAATACCAAACACTTGAATGAGCTGGCAGAGACAATGTTTTATGATGTCTAATATCTCACATTGTATTTACACACATACATCTAATAATTATAGTAAAAAGTAATACGTTTAACATTACAATATTAAATACAATATAATCTCTAATGTTAGTTTCTGTGACGTGTCGATTATAACAGAATTTCAAACTCAAATTTAAGGTTATAAAAACAATGAAAAAAAAAAACGTTTACAGTTGTGAACTTGTGCACTTATAAAGAATGCTTATAAGGTAACACAAATGAATGCTGAAAATATGGAACTGTCCCATTGTTTTAAGAGTGTGTCTTTGGAAATTATAAATTATATCCAGAAAGTAAGGAGCTTGAAAAATGCTCTGTGGCAAAAATGCAACTGATTTCTTCAACAGGCTAGAAATGGCCTCTTAATTACCTAATAGTTCACTGAAGGTGCAGAAGGACATGGATTGTAGCTTGGTGGAGGTTCAGAAAGACCTGGATCATAACTTAGTGGAGGGGCAGAAAGACTTGCATCATAGTTTGGTGGAGGTGCAGAAGGACTTTGATCATCGTTTGGTGGCGGTGCTGAAGAACTTGGGTTGTAGTTTGCTGGATGTGTAGGATATGGATAGTATTTTGGTGGAGGTGCGAGAGGACTTTGATGGTATTTTGGTGGAGGCTCCAAAGGACTTGGATCATAATTTGGTGGAGGTGCAAAAGGGCCTGATTGCACAATATTGTTGTCAGTCATATAAGGCACATCTCGGTTTATGTAACTGACTGCAACATGTCTTGACTTGAAAGAGACAGAGAACACAACAAAAATAGAACATCATTATTGTGTTGCATTCATTATTGCATGTAAATCTAAAGGGGATGTAGTGACACCTAGTGCCAGTTAATTAACTAATCAGAATGGATAGGCAAATGAGGTTGCTTCTGTCAAAAATGCAGTCAAATAATCATACGGATGAAATATAAAAAGTGCATCTTTCTGTGTGAATGAAAGTGCTAATATATAAATCTAATATACAATTATTTCTGCATTTCCACATTTAGAAATAAATTATTATAAAATTGATTGTAGTTAACCTAATTTTGAAATAAACATCCTCTTATATCATGGTTGAATCAGTTGCTTCTTAAGAGTATAAAACAATCATTAAATGTAACTGTTTTTATGTCAGACTGCTTTTGTGAGTTTTTGTAAGCTCATCTGATTCACTGAAAAAAATATATTTCAAAAGAAGAGCTAAGGCTGACTTTGCTTTATCCTGTCTTAAGAAGGCTTATAATATATAGTGAGCATGAACATATGGACTACATTTATGGTGCTTTTTTCATTTTGCAGAGTGAAAGAACCAGTCCTCATTCATCTTCATTATGTATTCCACAGAAGAAAAATAGGGATTTGGAATGGCATGAGGGTAAGTAAATAATGACAAAAGTATTTTTATTTTCAGTTTTAAGTAAGATCTTTGAACTGAATCTGTTTACCTTCATCCTGCAGCAGTCACAGGAAGACGAGGCAACTATAACAGAGATGATGAAGACCAGAGCATCACAGAAAACCAAGAGAATTAGAGTCACACCCTGAGTGAGTACACAGACAGTAGACATTATAACCTAAAACACATTTTATGATTAGTTATAAATATTTATCTTTAAGAAGCTGACAGAAACCGCACATGAGTAATATAAATGTTATAAAGGACATATTAGTGTGGAGCTTAAATAGGCTACAATTAAAACAATGTTTTATAGTTGATAGTATTAGCACTTTGTCTGGTTAGAATGTAAGTTTTGCAAATATGTTTTAATTTTGTAAGAATGAAAGCAGGACATCTATACAGACACTTACATCACTGTCAAGACAGTGAAGTGGGATGGAGATAGCAGCTGCTATGGCATTGAAACAGTTTAGAAATTGTGAGATTCTGACCTGAAATGGGAACAATGGGGAAAATGTAATGCATTGTAATCTAATAAAAAGTTTAATAATTTTTATTAGATATTCAGACTAACGCGACATGTGTTACGTGTACATGCAGCTGACACTGTCACAGATCCGGTTAAAATCGACTGCAGTGAAGATAATGAATATTATTCAGCATATGTTCATTGCACAATGCTGTTATGATGTTTACATTAAATACTTACAATTAAACATGACCAGAGGAGATATAAAAATCCTGTCCAGATTGTTAAGATTAACATCGTTATACCTGTTGATATTTCCAAAACCTGTAAGATATAAAACAAGCATCTATTGTACAAGCTGTATCTAAAATACAGCATCTGTTTCCTCATTTCCCCTCAAATCAAAATGAAAAATTCAAGTGTGTCAGTTTGTTTTACCCCCAGAATCTTTGGCCTGATCTTCAGGAATTTAGACACCACACGCTGGTCAAAATGTGACACTGACTGCTGAAGAAAGCTGGTCACATCATCACGTCTAGGCATCTTTAAATGCACTGAAAGAAATATGTGTTGGGATGGGAACTGTAAGAAACTAATGTTTTCATTTAAAAACTCTGATGTACTTATGTATTCTGTTATAAGTTCCAATTTTTTAACCCTACAGAAGTTAAAAGCATGCTTTTCTCTTTACTATCAACCAAGAAGAAGAGGAACCAAATGTTTCTGTGCACATCGTCACAGAAGAAAATCAGGATTTACTGGAAGAGTTGTTTAGACAAAAAAGTAAGCAAAGTAAGCAAACAGTGTTGACAGTGACAGCTGATTTAGATTTAGAGTTTTTTTTCAAGGAGACGTCACAATTTTCTGGTGGTCCAAGCAAAGTTTGGAATGAAGATGTTCACTTGACCCTGCCAGTCACAACACAAGATCTGCATGAACTTACAAAACAACCATCTACACAGTATATTTTTGCAATAACCACAGTGAGTACATTGAACACATAAAGAGGATTTATACATGATAGTTTGCAATAGTATTTAGTTCTAACTGCTTATTCCAGCTTTTACCTAACCCACAAACACAGACAGTATTAGCAGAATACTTACACTAAGTAATACTTTTCCAGCTCCCAAATTCAAATCCATGTAGTATGTGAAGATATGGTACTTATGAATAATTATTGATCGACTATGTGTCAGGAGTCATTTTCATTTTGTTTTTCCTAGTAAGAAGTCTTTTAGCTCAGACTGAAAGACTCCGCCTCCACAAAATATGAAGAGAACTATTCTTAAATGTTTTAAGATGTAAACATTGCATTATACTTATTATACATTATACTTGTTGATCTTAAGGCTTTTAGAGTCACAAGGGTCAACTCAAAAGATTTTAAAGGCAGTATTTGTTTGTTATTTGTTATTAGTATGACACAAGGAAGCAAGGATCATCAAGTTTATCGCTATCAACCTACCATGTCAGGATGGCCGAGTGGTCATGGTGCCAGACTCAACTAATGTTAAGATCCAACGTTGGGACATCTGGTCCTCTGTAAGGAGGTCGTGGGTTTGAATCCCACTTCTGATACAATGTTTTTGCAGTGACAGGACTAGACGTACCAGCTTTAGTTTAGAATGTAAGTAAATGATAGGGCCATTTTCAACATCAAGATGTGTAAGACCAATGTGAAAAGTGTCTCAGACAGTCCTACACCCTCTGTTCCAGTCTGTTGAGGAGCATATTGTGGTCACAAGTATCAAATGCAGCACTGAGATCTAGCAATACAAATGCTAGTATTAGCATTTAGGTGAATAATATATTAATAACATTGGGGAAGTCGTGGCCTCATGGTTAGAGAGTTGGACTTATTACCCAAAAGTTGCAAGTTTGAGTCTCAGGTCTGGCAGGGATTGTAGGTGGGGGTAGTGAATGTACAGTGCTCTCTCCCACCTTCGATACCATGACTGAGGTACCCTGGAGCAAGCCACCAAACCCCCAACTGCTCCCTGGGTGCTGCAGCATAAATGGCTGGCTACTGCTCCAGGGGTGTGTGTTCACTGCTGTGTGAGGTATTTACTTTTACTAGGTCAGATTCCAGACAACTAAACACACTTTTAAAGAAGGATGTGGCTAGAGTGTTAAGACAGAAGGTGGACATTTTAAGGTGGTGCATGGTTTCATGCAGTGTTTATTGTCAGTCGCCTCAAAGTTAGCCATAGTGACTACAATAATCAGTGACATAAGTGGTTATGCATAGTTATATGCAAATATACTAATATCAGTTCCAATTTATTAACCATACAGAAGTTAAAAGCATGCTTTTCTTTTTACTGTCAACCAAGAGGAAGAGGAAGCAAATGTCACTGTGCACATTCTCACAGCTGAAAATCAGGATTTACTGGAAGAGTTGCTCAGACGACACATCACAAGGTACTCAAACAGCATTGGCAAAAACAGCTGATTTAGATTTCAGGGGTTTTTTTTCAATGCAACTTAAAAGTACAACCTAGAGATAATGACACAGGAGATTTTCTGCTGGTCCAAAGAAAGTTTGGAATTTAAGATGTTCACTTGACCCTGCCAGTCACAACACATAAGATCTGGATGATTAGTATATTTCTGCAATAACCACACTGAGTACACAATGAACAAATAAAGAGGATTTATATACAATAGTTTGCAATGGCATTATTTGCAATACTAGCTGCTTATTCTAGCTTTTACCTAACCCACAAACACGGGGAGAGAGAGAGAGAGAGAGCGAGATTAAATGTGCAGAATACTTGCACTGTGTAACAAATTTTCAGCCCCCAGCTTAAAATCCATTCAGATTAGTAGTATGCGAAGATGTGAAATGAATCATTATTGATGTGTATGGTGTGTTTATCTGGAGTCATTTTCATTTTGTTTTTCAATTTGTTTTCCTAGTAAGAAGTCATGCAGCTCACAAGACTCCACCTCCACAAAATATGAAGAGAATGATTCTTAAACATCACATGTAAACATTGGGTGAATTCCAGTTATACAAATAGGATTTTATAGGATAGGAACAAATATCCTAATTGCTGGGCTTTTTTGAAGAGACTTGATGATATTGATGATATTGAGTCAAAAGGGTCAATTCAAAAAAGTTATTATGGCACATTATGCAAATGAGTAAGCAATGATCATGTGTATTGCTGTCCTACCACAGTGTCAGAAAAGCCAAGGGGTTAAGGCGTCAAACTGTGAGATTTCTGGTGATGTGGGTTCAGTTGCAACTTCTGACAAGGTTTTTGGAGTGACAGGACTAGAGGTCCCAGCTTCAGTATCAGAATAAATAATTAACAAATGATTAATAAATAAATAAGTGATAAATAAGTGATTGAACATCATAATGTAAATGTATTTTTTAACATCAAATCAATGTAATATCTGATCACTGTAATAGTTTGTTTGTTAAAATACAATACAGGGAGCCTAACTTAAATGCCTTTATTTAAATTCTAATAATAACAAATAATTAAATAATTAAATGTTTGCATAAAATCACAGAAAAATGTCATGGGACATTATGTTAAAAGACATTATGTTCATCAACTACTGTAGGTCAAGGTCAAGGTCAGTTTATTTATATAGCACATTTAAAAACAGCTAGTGTATGCCAAAGTGCTGTACATATACAAATAAAGTAAATAGATTAAGAGAATAAAACGAAATGACTCAAAAACACATAATCAATACAAACCACATTAACATACACAAACATACATTTCATCCAAAAGCCAAGGAATACAGATAAGTCTTCAGGCGGGATTTAAAAACAGGAAGGGAAGGCGCAGATCTAATGTCCAGAGGTATGCTGTTCCATAGTCGAGGACCGGCTACAGCAAAAGCCCAATCCCCCTTAAATTTCAAGCGAGAGCGAGGTATATGCAAGAAAAGTTTATCAGAGGATCTGAGAGAGCGAGAGGATTGCTGATAGCTGAGAAGTTCGGACAAGTATGATGGGGCTAGATCATTTAATGCTTTATACACAAATAATAAAATCTTAAAATGGATCCTATGCTGCACCGGTAACCAATGAAGAGATGCTAGGATAGGAGAAATACTTTCTCTCCTCTTAGTACCAGTTAGCAACCTCGCAACTGCATTCTGGACTAACTGCAAGCGATTCAGTGATGAATGATTAAGACCCATATAAAGTGCATTGCAATAATCAAATCTGGAAGTGATGAAGGCGTGAGTAACTATCTCCAAATCCTTAAACGAGAGCATAGATTTTAATTTGGCTATTTGCCTTAGTTGAAAAAAGCTGCTCTTCACCACAGCACTTATCTTTTTTTCAAATTTCAGATCAGTGTCAAAAATCACACCTAAGCTTTTAGCAAAAGGATGAATGTTTGATGACATAGAATCTAGATTAATAGTGAAATCAGAGACAGCACCTGGGGGTCCAAAGACAACAATCTCAGTTTTGCTTTCATTTAGTTGGAGAAAGTTTCTGCCAGTCCAGCCTGTAATATCTTCAAAGCAATTAAAAAGGTCAGAATAAGAGTGGTCATGAGTTGAGAGGAATGTAGATCTGAGTATCGTCAGCATAACAATGGTATGAAATATTATATTTCCTCATGATCGAACCCAAGAGGAGCATATATAAACAAAATAAGACAGGCCCCAAGAGGGACCACATAGGTGAACGGTGCAGAAGGAGAGGACGAGTGTCCAATCATCACCTTAACTGATCTATCGGAGAGGTATGATGAGAACCAATCCAGTGCCGTGCCCCTAATGCCAACTTCATCCCTTAGATGATTAAGAAGGGTAGCATGATCAACTGAATCAAATGCAGAACTAAGATCAAGTAGCATTAAAATAGCAGATTTACCAGAGTCCAAAGCAAGGAGTAGATCGTTTGACACCTTCAGCAGTGCAGACTCGGTGCTATGATGGGCTCTAAAACCAGAATTAAATTTATCTAAAATATTGTTTTGTGAGACAAATGACGATCCAAAATTTTAGACAAGAATGGCAACTTAGAAATAGGGTGGAAATTTTTAAGATTGGTTGTGTCTAAATTTGGCTTCTTAAAGGGGTCCTATTATGCTTTTTTACAAAGTCTTGATTTCGTTTTGGGGGTGTACTAGAACAGGCTCTCATACTAGTTTGTTCCTGGCATGAACGGCTCGAATAGTTCCTGTATCAAATGAAGGCCCGCCTTCTGAAATACGAAATGTGCTGTGATTGGTTAGCTGGGCCAGCGTGTGTTGGGATTGGTTAGCTGGGCCAGCGTGTGTTGGGATTGGTTAGCTGGGCCAGCGTGTGTTGGGATTGGTTAGCTGGGCCAGCGTGTGTTGGGATTGGTTAGCTGGGCCAGCGTGTGTTGGGATTGGTTAGCTGGGCCAGCGTGTGTTGGGATTGGTTAGCTGGGCCAGCGTGTGTTGGGATTGGTTAGCTGGGCCAGCGTGTGTTGGGATTGGTTAGCTGGGCCAGCGTGTGTTGGGATTGGTTAGCTGGGCCAGCGTGTGTTGGGATTGGTTAGCTGGGCCAGCGTGTGTTGGGATTGGTTA